CTTTCCATCTCTTGTGAAAGTTGTTTTCACATGAGCTGTATATTGAATCTAAGTGCCTATAAGGCTTGTGTGTAACCTATTTAATGGATTCACAATGGGATGGTTAGCACCCAAACAAAGGTGTTATTCTTGGCATGCCCCTCTTTGGAACTGAAACTTCCACAGTTTTCAAAAAGATAAGGCCAGGAAACCAGAAGGAACAATATATCTGCAAAAGCTATAGCTACTGAAATTACTGTAGTAACTTACATCATGATGCAAATGTTAATAATGTCACTGCTGGCTATAGCCTGGAATATAAATTATGTTGGTTCATAATCTATTTTGCTTTGAGGATGATTCAGATTAAAACATAGAAGCCAAATTTAATCTAAAAATGTATTTGGTTGCTCTGATGAGGAGTGTCCAAGTGTCTGTGTCTGTCACCTGAGCAGACTTTGACACTGTGAAAGACATATGTATGAATTTTGCAATGGCATCCAAAATGTGCTTGATCTTCACACATTTCTATAGAAAAAATACAAAAAGAGCATATGATGGGTAGGCAAATTGGCCCAACATTTAAAAAAGTGTTTAGGGTACAGTAAGGAAAAAAAACCCAAACAGGTAAGAAAACCTTCCCAAATTCTCATAGGAGTCTGGGATCTTAATTTTAAATGAAGTGGACTCAATTTCTCTCTGCCATCTTCACTGCTCAGCCATTTGCCTTGCCCACTCAGCAGTCCCACTGTGATACTTGCCAGGGTTCTGCCTCTCGTCCTCCTGAGATTTGGCTCCTCAATTAATTTATCTGTTAAGCATTGGGGACTATTTAGATCCAGTGCTCTGATATGGGGACAAAAGCTATCTAACTAAAAAATAGGAAGAGGTTGTTAAGTGAAACTTTAGAGATCCAGATCAAAGAGTTATAATACAATTTCTGAGCTGCTGCTGGATGTAATATTTTTCAAAGCTTTTGACTACCACAGAGTCTGGAAAGGAAGTACCAGGAAACTGGAATTGTATCAATGTAGCTAAAAACCTATGTCCTGGAACTAGAAGTAAGGGAAAAAAGTATGTGGGAGATGGAGGAGACAAGACCAGAAGGTGAATTTGTAGGTAGCTCTGTAGAGCCTTGTGGGCAAAGAGAAGAAGCTGAATGCCATGGCAGAGAGAGGAAAATATTTTTTGCAGTGGTATTTTGGAGGACTATGAATCAAAGAGGCCAGGAAGAGGAATTAGCAGTAAAAAAGACAAGTACTCCAGCTGTTGCAAGAAAAGCAAGGGCTACTCGCATTCATTACTTGTGTAAATGGAGAACAGTATTGGCTCTCTGCTTTACAACTCTGCTTTCAGAAATAAGTTTGTCAGCCAAAGTAAAGAGAAAAAGATCAATGGATTGCAATAAACGGCATTTAACATAAAAATGAGTAAAATTTACAATCCAGTTAACTTGTTAAATGTTACAAAATCAGCAAACAATAGACACAATTTGTTTTGTTCAGAGCCCAGAGGTAGAGACCAAATCTTCTAAACTAATTTCTGCAAAAGCTGGGGTTTTTTTCCAAACAGGTCTGGATCCTATTCGTTGTAGAATATACTGATTACCAACTATTTTTAAGAGCTTTACACAAACATTATTTCTTTTGTTGTGTGAAATGCAGAATCAGCCATCTGGCAAATGCCCCAGAGCTAAAATCTTTTACATGACATATAATTCAAAATGATTAAATATACAACAGAAAATAGCTATAGCATTGCACTTAAAATAGCATGAACTTTTACTGCCGATCAAAACTGATTTCTTTAGCCTAACAAGTATCCAAAGAACAATTATTTGAAGAGCTTTTAAGAGTTTCAATATGTAGGAACTAAACCTCATCTAAATTCAGTATCTTAAGTCAAATAAAAAAGAAACAAATGTACAAAAGATTGAATGGTCCTGCCTTATAAGTAGACATTTAAATCTATGGGAAGCTAAATTCATTCGAACAAAAATACTATATTCCCTCTGTATGTGTATTGCTGGGGCTTTCCTCTCCTTGCTTGGGGCATCTGCCAAAACAACTCGTACATTCTTAGGCAATGACTAGGGGACTAGCCTGGAATCAGGCTGTTCATCCACTCCCTCCATCATCAGAATGGGCAATTTCAAAGAAGAACAGGGAATAAAGCTCTGTGCAAGATCCCTCAATGCAGTCAATCTTTTTTCCTGCACCACAGTCAACTCGAAGTTAAATTTGCTGTCTTTTTTCCAGAAATACTCCAGGCCTGAAAAATTGCCAGGTCCTCATCCCACACCCAGTTCTCCAGTAGTTTCTGAGAAAGAGCACGCAAACATCTGCATGTATTTGGGGTACATGGGGGTAGGTATAGAAATATTACCCTGAGCGATTATTGAGTGGTTATGGCTGTTTCTCAACTGCATTTTTCAGACAAGTCAAAGTCTACATTTCCCAAAAAAGCACTTGGTGCAAGTCAGGTCTGAGTTGTGAGGGGAAAAAAAAAGTCCAAATGTAGGAGATTTTTCTCACGGATTTGTGTACTTGGAAAAACCTGAAATGGTTGAACACATCGTTGCCGACTGTCCAAAATATTTGTGCCTCTTAGTTCTTTCAGACCAAGAACGAGAGCCTCCATGCCAAGGTAACAACGTGAGGAAAATGTAAGTTTGTGATTATTAAGGCTCAGAATTAAAATGGCTTTGCCCCCTCGCCTGGGGAGTCGGGCCAGCCTCATGACCAAGGAACCTCAGACGTTCTAACCCCAGACTTCTCTAAACTATACAAAAATAATGTTCTTGAATCTTGACCTTTTCAGCTCATAATGATTCTTGAAGCAGCAGGATTTTTCCTGCTGCTTTTCACAAGACTTTCAGGCTTGTAGAAATGCTGATTGCAGGCTGGCTTGGGACTGCAGCAACACCAAACCCCCTCTTAATAACATGCTTGTCCTGGTCTTCTGGGCCTAATCCTGCTCTTAATTCACTTCCCTGACTGAGCTCTCAGTGAAAAGGCAGATTTTGTGTCTTTCTGCTTTTGATTTATAGGAAGAGGTATAAATATATTTCAGGTAATATTGACTGCACTACATGAAGCTCCCCTATGCACCTACTAATTAAACCTGAATTCTCATATCAGAACAAGGAAAAGCATGTTTTATATTATTTAACTCATCCTTGTGAAAACCACAGGAGTAACAAGGCAATTTTCATCAGAAATATCTTTGCTTTTCATCAAGACAGGTGACCCAGGCAATCTCCTGACATCTTTTCCATCTCAGTATAAAAATTTCCTGGTTTTGATGGTACTTTCTCTTTGAAAGTTATGGGCTTTTCTGATAGAGGACCTAAAACCTGACTGTCACAGCTCTTCTTGTACCTCCCTGCTTTGCATTAAAAATAACATCTTGTAATTTTTACTTTTCGCTGAAAAACTGGGAAATCTTCCGATCTTTCTATTGACCAAACTCTGTTACAAAGGTGCCAGGAGTCCTATTTCTGGGAAAAAAAAGAAAAGAGGAATACTCCTGGTGAAACAGGAGCCTCGTCCCGGTATTTATTAAAAATAAACAACATATCTTCTTACAAATGAGCCTTCCCATTCTTATTTATGTGCTCAATTTTGCGTACTTCACAACACTGGAAAAAAAGAAAAGCTTGAAGAACACATGGAGAATCAAGAGAAATTTGAGCATCCCCAAGGAAACAGAGGTTTAGGGACGGAGCAATAACTGCAAGGCTGTAATGAGAATTTGGAAAACTTTGCTAGATAAAAACATGTAACAAAGCTGTTGCTGTCATTTCATTCCCTGGGCCTGATTATGTTTGCACGATGGGCCTTTGCACTGCTCTAGCAGCGAGAGCTCTCTGAGTAAATGAGTATCAGACCTCCAAGCTAGCGAAGCTCAGGGCTTGCCAGACTCCTCAGCAGTCTCTGCGGTGCTTGACCTCCTCTCATCTCCACAGAGAAGTGCTGGAAGCAAACTCAGGAGTTTCAAATGGCAGCTGCTCTCCCCTGCTGTGGAATTGTACCTGGGTGCTGCCAGGCTGGAGCCAAGGCCGTGCCACGGCTCAGGGATTCCTCGCTCTCTTCCACAAACAGCCGAGAAACAATTAGGAATTGCTTCATAATAGGGCTGAGGTGAAAGGTGAGGACTGGAGTATTCTGAAGCCTGCTGCCAGGGCTGAGGAAGATAGTGTCATTTTGGTAAACCTGTCAAGCTGTTGTAAGAACTTCCTGAATGCTTCCTACCATCTGCTTTTGATGCTTTCAAGACTTGGCTGGAAGCCTGGAGGTTTTCCTGCTCTTTCCTGCCCAACCTATAATGGAGTAATTCTGGATCTGTTCCCTGTCATCTCAGCCTCTTCCTCAGTTTCTTCTGCTTACAGCTGGGGTTTTTTTTTTTAATTTTTTTTTTTCTCTTTACTTCAGTGGCCTTGTGCCCTGAATCATCTCTCCTGGGGCGGCAAGAGTTCCTCTGATGTTGAACAAGTGCCGGGTTTTTCAATTGTGTTCATGTTCTTGAGAGGAAGGGTCTGGCCTACATGACACATTCCTTCTTCACACTCACATCAACAACTTTAACTTTGTGTCCAGGCCCTGGCTGGAAGAGCCACACAAAGCCCATCTCCACAGCTCTGTCAGGCCGCACGCTGTGCCGGGCTGCTGGGCCAATATTGATTGATATAATTTGTAGGGTTTGAGATAAATGTCATAAAGGACAATGAGTTCAAAGAACAGATTAAAAAACAATAAATTGAATTCCAAGGCGTTCCCTCCTGTACTAATCTGTGTAGGTTCCTGTGTTTTTGGAAAGCATGTTGCTTATCTTCCTCATCAGTAGGCCCACTGCATTCCAGTATTTTGGATCAATGCCACTTGTAATAATCTAGATCAGTTTTTATTCAACGTTTATAAAACAGGCCATGTATCACAGGGTATATTTTATAGCAGATGGTATCTCCAATTCATTTAACCCCCCCCCCACTTCCCTCCTCCAATATCACAGTGCACACTCACAAAAGCTCTTGAAAGTAGAGCAGAGCAGAATTTTTTTACAACAAATAGTAAATTTGCTGAAAAACGGAGTTTCCAAGCAACAAAATTGTTAAACTGTAGCACACTGAAAATGAAATGTTCTGTTTCCTAGAAAAAAAAGAGGTTTTGCAATTTGGACATTTGAGGGGGAAGAAGAAATCCAAAAAGCAGGGTAGGTGGTTTCTTTCAGAAATCAGTTTCATTTTAAAACCCTCTGCACTGAAAAGGTGATAAACACAACTTTAAGCAGCCAGAACACAAAGTAGTTTTTTTTTCAGGTCAGATTACATTTTTTTCGTTATCCCAGTGTCAACTGTTTGGGAATCTTCTATGGCTTTTAATTTGAAAAGTTTCTCTTTTGGCTTGGTGAGAACTAATTTTCCCCAAGGCTTATTAATTTGAGGGTTTAGCGATGTAGAGCCAGGCTCTACTCCAAACACAGCTCTCCAAGGTGAAGATTTCCTGTTCAGGAAGGTAAGACCCAGACTCATTTTAAGAAACTGTACTATTCCAACATGTAGAGATAAGCACATGCTTAAGCACTTTGCTGGTTCTCAACACGGAGCTTTCCAGCTTTCAGGATCAGTGATGTGCCCCTCACAACCACTCCCTTGCTTGAGATCATGACAGAAGAGACTGAAGATTTTTCTGAGATTAACATACCAAAAGGTAATAAAATATATTTATCCATATGTGCTTGGGAATACTTCATTGTAATTTTGCAAAATATGATTTGTACAGCTCTGGGGATACATAAATCATTGATAAAATAAATAAGTTAAAGATATTTTAGCTCAGTGATAATAGAACCAAGTCATGGAGTTGTTTATATTTTGGCTTTAATCAGGCAACCTAGAAGATAAGAGAAATAAACTCTTCTTAGTTTACCTTGCAGAAGAAGTTAAATCATACCTGTATTTCTCAGAAACTTGCATTTGTAGTCAACAACTACTCTGGTTTTGGGGTTATAGAATCCATCCCCAGTGTCATAACAACCTTCTGGGATTATTTTGGGAGGATCCAGATTTGTAAGTTGAGGAATGCCTGAAGGGGAAAAACAAGGTTTGATTTTTTTTTTTTTTAATTTATGCCTTTGATCAAGATAACTTACATACATCTCCATGGCCTTTGCTATAAAAACAACCCAGTTACCTCACAGTAAATTCTGTAAAACATTTCATCAATTTTGCACATAAGGAAAATGAAAATGGAAAAATGCACACGCAAGACTGTGTGATAAAAAGTGATCACTTTGGTTTCCTCTTTCACAGTCCTGTGATTCAGCCCATCAAGTTAACATTACAAGTCCAACCCTAAAATCCAAAATGGGGCCAGGAGAGATTCGCTGGCTTCACAGAACTCCATGTCATCACTAAAATATTCTCTGTATTGTGTGTATTATGTTACAGACTTTACTCACTTTTTTTCCTTATAAACCCATCTTTTGCCTACGATAAATAGCAACGTTACAAAATCCTTTATCAAAAACACGGACTGAACACAAAGGTCTGTTTCGGTATCTACTAAAAAGCTACGTGAGGCAGATGTTTGAAACTTTGTTCAGCATCCTGGATGCAAACTAATTGCTTTTGCTCAACTTCTGTGTATCAAAAGCACCCTGCTGATGCAGTGATGGTGAAAGGTACAAAAGGGTTAATCAGGATGTCAAAAGCTGTGGATAATAAAGCCCTGTCCTGCAGGTCATCGCTCTGAGAGACTCGCTGTGGATGCAGAGCTGCATCCCAGGCTCTGCTGGTGGAAGGTGGTGTCCACATTCTTCTGGCAGCATTGTAGGGTTGTATGAAATTAGCCAGAGCATTTCTGCTCCATGTTACTCATGTAGATGAATTAATCTTTCTTAAGCAAAGTTGTTAGTTTAATTCCTTCCAGACTCTCAGGATCGCAAACGCAATTTAGTACCTGGTGGTTTAAAACCAGAACAGATTTCTGTATAAAATCTTCTGTCGTAGCCATCGCAGTAACGCCATTTTTCCTCGTCATATTCGAGACCATCTGCAAAAGTGTATTTCCCCTGCAAAACACGTTTGAGTGCAGAGTTAATAAACATGATGGATGGACGGAACACCAAGGCCAGGTTGCACCGGCAGGGCCAGCGCGGCTCCGCTCGGCTTTCGTCGGGAATCCTGCCCGTGGTGCCCGGCCGCCAGCAGCCTCCCCCCACCCCGAGGGCTCAAACACCGGCTTGGCTCGGAAATCCACGTATTTCACCTCCAAACCTCCCTGGCGGCGGGGCCTCTGCCAGCGGAGCCCCCTCGGGGTGAAGAGCCGGCCGTACCTGCGTGGGCACCCCGCGGATCCAGAGCGCCCGCTGTCCGCCGCCCCTGGGGCGCTGCAGCTCGCCCTTCCCGTGGAACATCCCGTCCCACAGCGAGCCCCGGTACTCGGCGCCCGACGGCAGCGTGTAGCGGCCGAACCCTTCCATCCTGGAAGAGATGGAGGGGGTGGATGGTGGCAGCCCCGCGTCCCCCGGTGCCCCACCAGCCCACCTTGCCCCCACGGCTCACCCGCAAAGCCCGCGACTCCCCTGCCCTCCGTGCACCCCCTTGGCTGCCCCGTCGGGCCTCCCGGTCCCACGTGTCCCCTGCGAACCCCGCTGCGCCCTCTGTGTCCCCGTGCTCCTCTCTGCCCTTTCCCGGACCCTCCGCTTCCAGCCGTCCCCAGCACCCCCCGTGCTCCTTCCCGGTGCCCCCGTTGTCCCCCGGCCCCACCTGCCGCGCATGACGCCCCCCAGGTACCGGTCCCCCGCCAGCTCCATGGCGGCTCCGACGGCGCGTCCCGGTCACCGCGGCAACGGCCCAGCCCCGCCCCCGCCCCCGCCCTGGCCCCGCCCCCCGCGCGGCGCGTGCGCGGGGCGGGGCGGGCGCTGAGGGCGCTCAAGGAGAGCCGCCATGCCCGGGGTGCTGCGGGTGCCCCCGCTCGAGGAGCTCGATGTGCAGGAGGTGAGTGCGTGAGGGCCGGCGGGACCTTCCCCGCCCTGCTCTTCCTTCCCCGCCCGCCCTCACGGCCGCTGTGCCCCGCCGCAGGTGGCGGTGAGCTCCTCCGTGCTGAAGGCCGCGGCGCACCACTACGGCTCGCAGTGCGACCGGCCCAACAAGGAGTTCATGCTGTGCCGCTGGGAGGAGAAGGACCCGCGCAAGTGCCTGAGGGAGGGCCGGCAGGTGAACCAGTGCGCCCTCGACTTCTTCAGGTGAGCGGCCCCCGGCCGGGAGGTGCCGCCGCAGCCCCACGGGCCTGGAGGTGACGGTGCTGCGGGCCCGTGCCCGGCTGTGTCATTCGAGCGCTGGCGGTCACTCGTTCCAGCGGAGCACCTCTGCTGTGGAGACAGGCTGCGAGAGCTGCGGCTCTTCAGCCTCGGGAAGAGAAGGCTCTGGGGTGATCTTAGTGCTGATACTTTCGGTAGCAGCAGGGGCTACAAGAGAGCTGGAGAGGGGCTTCTGACAAGGGTATGATGTGACAGAACAAGGCGGCATGGCTTCACACTGACAGAGGGCAGGTTTAGATTAGGTATTAGGAAGAAATGTGAGGGTGGTGAGGCCCTGGCACAGGTTGCCCAGAGAAGCTATGCCTGCCCCATCCCTAGAAGTGTCCAAGGCCAGGTTGGATGTGGCTTGGAGCAATCTGGGATAGTGGAAGTTGTCCCCTGTCCATGGCAGGGTGTGGAATGAGATGAAATTAAAGGTTCCTGCTAGCCCAAACTATTCTGTAGTTCCAATTAAAAATGCTGCTGCCATCACCGCCTTCAAAACTTTTATACTTGCTTCTTAAACTTCAACTCCTGGGGATAGAGCCCATGTGTTTTGTCTTGCTTATTTATACATGAATTTATCCTGTCACTTGAAGCTCTTTTGCCTTTGCTCCAGAGCAAACGGCCTGCGGTTTTTGTTGGGAACTCAGGGCAGTGATGTGAGGCTGCTGCACCTTGCAGCTGTGTGATGAACTCCAGGAAACCAGCCTGAGCATTGCATTGTCTGTCCTCCCTGTCTCACAGGTGAACTACTGAGAAAGCTTGAGCAGGTGCACCACCTGCCTCTCCTGACCAAAAATGTAGATCCAAGGCATGTGCCAGAACTGTTTGTAAAGGACCTAATTTAATTATCTCAAGGCATGTCCGCTTCCAGTGTAGCAACTAAAACCTCTGTTCTAAGCATGGCTTTTTGAGCTTTAGACACAAAATTATTTGGAAGTATTAGAGCACCATATAATGTAACTAAATTATTTGGCAAAACAAAGATGTCCTGTGGAGGAGCTGTGAGCATCTACCCAGCAAAAATTTTCTCCACATATCAATTAAGTCATTACTGTCATTAATTGTAGCTGCAGCCGTGGAAATTTCACAGGTATTTGTATCAAATACTGACTTGACTTAAGGTTTAGATGTTCCTGAGAACTTAAAGCTGCAAAACCCACTTTATCCCGAGCTGAGGTCGGAATGAGAAGAGCTCTGAGTGGTGCTTGCTGAGGGGTTTGTGCCTGTGGTGTCCCCAGGAGCATCCGGACGCACTGCGCCGAGCCCTTCACCGCGTACTGGACGTGCATCGACTACACCAACCAGCAGGAGCTGCGCCGCTGCCGCAAGCAGCAGGCGGCCTTCGACTCCTGCGTGCTGGACAAGCTGGGCTGGGTGAGGCCCGACCTGGGAGACCTCTCCAAGGTAACTTCTTATCGTTTTGGGCAGACAAGTGGATCCTGCTCTTCGTCCTCTATGCATGTTTTGTCCAGAGCAGGTCTCCAGCATCTCTTGGCCTGATGGTGATTTGTGAACCCAGTGCTGGAAGTTTGTGGGATAACAGAAGTCAAGGCCGGCAGCATTTTTCAGGGTTGCTTTTCCAGAAGACTTGTGCTTTTCTTAGACAACTAAATTCTTGCTTTTTGCTTTTCCTGGTGTAGAGGCTTCTCCTTTAGGAATGAAGCTCATGCTCACATGGAGCTATTCTAGTTGTGATGAAACACCCATCCCTTCTCTTAGAAGTATTGAGGGGCTCTCATCAGCTGAACAATGTGTCCTTACTATTGTTTGGTTCTTCTTGGCAGTTCTTCCTTGAAGTTCTGACTCAACCTGGCTATTAAGTGCTGTGAGAAGTTGTGTCACTTCTTTGCATTTCTTTCCAGGTTACGAAGGTGAAGACAGACCGTCCTCTGCCTGAGAATGCGTATCACTCTAGACCCAGACCAGAGCCAAACCCACCCACTGAAGGGGAGCTGAAGCCCTCTCCCTTTGGCAGCAGGCTCTTTTTCTGGTCCTGGTGAAGTGGGCAGGCTGTGCAGTACTCAAGTGCAGAGATGTGGCACTTGCACATGTAAATTGCGTGGTGTGTGCTGGGTATTACTAATAATTAAAGAGCCCCAAACCATTGCATGGCTGAGCAGAGTTCTTTAAACTCATAGCAACGAGAACAATACATTTCCCTGTTTTGCTCAGAGCTCTCTGCAGTCACACAGCCCTTGGGACCCTCTGGGCACCAGTAACGTCAGATGGTGATTACCAGGATTGTCTGTGATGTGTGCAAACGTAGTTCCAGTCTTTGACTGCTGTCCCATCAATCACAAACTGGCGTGAGACTTGATTTACTTTCTGAGAACATTGCCTCATGGATCAAGGAAACTCTGGGAACAAACAAGTCATTAATGTCTTCCCTTAGTCTTGCAACTGATAATTGTGCATTCTTTCCAAGGAACTCCTGTAGAGGTTTAACCTAAAATCTGTCTTGGAGCAAGGGGTTAGTGGAATCTGGCATTTGCTAGGTATGGGGGCAATGCTGTTTCTGCCATAAAGATCCCTGTTGTGCTTCTCAGCTGCTCACACAACATTGGTCAGGGACCTCCAGTTTTCGGACTGTTCTATGGGGGGAACACAAGCTACTTTATCAGAAAAATTATATTAAATTTTCAACACTTTTCAGGAAAAACTTCCCCCTAAAGGATCTTGTGCCTCATTAAGCAGTGTAGGAAAGAAGCTTGTATTCTGTCTCAAGGCCCTGACTTAAAGGGTTTGGGGAAAATCCTTCCCAATTTTGCACTGTGGTGTTTTTTTTTGATAGAGGAGTTAGTGAGCTTTTTAAAATTTGTCTTTTCTACACTATTTGGAAGTCATGTTTTTCATAGGAGATAGATCTAGTCTTTCATTCACCTCCACCTAATAGCAAAAACCTTTTTTTAAAAGTCAGTAAAAAGCCAGTGAACTTGTTTTTCTGAAGCAACATGCAGTTTAACTTGCTCTGGGTGAGATTGTCTCACCTGAACCATGGCAAAGAGTGGAGCTGTGCTCTGCTCCTTGAGTGGCCTGCTCGTAGTAGGATCTGAAGATACGCTGTTTCTTTGTTTGAGGTGGGACTAAACTGTAAGGGTTCTATAGCTGCAGGATATGTTTCTGATCCATGAAGCTAGAGGGGAAAATTGTATAGCATTTATCTAAAAATAGCTTGTGCACTGTGTGGCTTCTGGGTTCTTGCTACTTTCTGCTGGGGTGCATTGACTGAAACTCAAAGTAGGTGCTATCTTTGCATTTTAATGTACATACCAGGCTGTCTTAGCAGCTCATTGCCTGAATAGTGAGCTGGTGCTGCACCTTTGCAGTTTCTCCTTGCCAGTCACTGTCACCATCTCAGAGCAGTCACATCTTGCTGAAGGAAGACAACCCTTCTCTGCAGAGACTGAAATTAGGACAAGCTTGGGGTCTAATTACATTCAGCTGAGTGAGTGAAGTGAGGTTTGGCCGAGTGGAAGATAAATTGTTCTGGGATGTTAACATGTATCGCATCAGATCTTTGCTGACCCACTCCAGCAGTTGATCAGGAGTTTCTAGATCTTAACCATGTTCTGTTAATAACTTACAATTGTCAGCATATTGGATGAACCATTGCACTGCTGAGCATCTGCTTTGGAATAGACAGGCATGGGCATTCCAGTAGTCAGCTCCTAATCACAATTAAAGAGTATTTTCTCCTGTTAGTTTGCTTCTGAAAAGAAAGACATTCATAAGTAGGGGGGCAAGTTTTTTTCTACAGCCTCATAGGAACCCCACCCTTAAGTTGGCTAGTACTGTAAGCAAAAAAAAAAAAAAAAAAAAGTGATTTATGCTGAAGCCTCAAAGGTTTTAGATTGTTCATCTGTTTCTTGACAGCTGAATCTACAGCCTCTTGGGTCAGAGCTGTGGGATCCAGTAATGATACACTGATCATGTTTTAAATTCAGAATTAACTGTCTGCTGGCCTAGATTTCCTCTTCAGTTTCAAGCAGGAGTGAGCAGGTGAAAGTACAAAAGAGATCAGCAGAGGAGGACAATGGAGTGATGAAGTCAAGTAGAATGGAGTTGTACTCTGAGCATTTCCTTCATTAACTTCTTTGTGATAATTGTTTCTAGTCTTTATCTCTTGGCTAAATCTCTGGAAAAGTGTTGCCAGCAGCTTTTCATGGTGCTTTGGACAGTGCCTGAATGCAGCTATTTCTGCTCAAAATCCTGTGGCTTTACTCAAACCTAGATGCCCCTTTGGAACTGTAATGGAAACTCGAACAAGTGGATATTGAGATTCAGTAAAGACCATAAAAATATTTTTGAGGAATGTGTCTTGACAATTTTTTGGCAGATGGAGAACAGACACAGGTATTTCCCTGGCCCTGTGAGAAGTGTTATTTGTTGTGCTGTGGGCTCTCAGCTTTGCCAGAGTTTCTAATCAAATGTTAAATTAAGAAAATGTTAGGCCAGTGTTCCACTATCAGATTCGGCAGAACCTGCTCCATTCTTTCAGACTGTGGGTG